GAGATAATAACATGCACAACAACAAGACAGAGCAAAACCAAGCAACAAAAGAAAACAACAAAAAGCCAATGACAAAATATAAATGTTACTTTAATGAAGAAAATGTATACATGTGCCCAACATTGCATTAGCAACAAGAAATTCAAAGATGGATAAAGGAAGCTCAAAATTAAAAAAAATAGCTAGGGACAAAGATGGATAATACAATATTACTTGCTTCAATGCAATGAGCTAAGTATTACATGAGTAGAAATAAACTACAGGCTACAGAGGAAAAAGTGAAAGTCTGGTAGCCTAACGAGTTCCAGGAGACTTTCACAGATATGATGGCCTGGGTCTTGAGGGGTGACTAGGAGGTCTCTAGGCAAATAGAAAGGAAGACAAGGAAAAAGAAGCTATGAGACACAGGCAGTCTGGACTGAAGAAAAACAAAAGTATAAGAATTAGAACCAATCAGCATTAGAAAGTAGACAAGGAAAGCTAGATTATGTATTTGAGCAAGTGGGGTAGTCGTGGGAGGTAGGGGGTGGGGTGGAAGGAACTTTAATAAACATTGTGAAAATAGGCTGGATACCATGTTAATAATTTTAAATTTGGTAATGGGGGAAGGGATCCAAGCTCAAGCTCATGGCACCAGGGTTAATGCCAACTCACAGTGACCCCATACGGTAAACCTGTCCCTGTGAGTTTCCAAGACTGTAACTCTTTAGAGTGGAAAGCTTCGTCTTCCTCCCACGGAGCAACTGGTGGTTTCAAACCACAGACCGTATGGTTAGCAGTCCAACGTGTAACCACTAGGCAACCAAGGCTCCTGGAGAGCCTTACACCAAGGAGAGGTGGACGTGTTTGCTCATTCCTGTGCCAAGTACTGTTTTAGACCTTGAAGGTACATACACCAGGGAAGAAGAGAAACAAAAACTCTGTCCTCGTGGAGTTTCTATTTCAGCTATTTCTAGGACCTCGTTAAAGGGGAGAGCCAGATAATGGTGAACATTGGGAAAAAGAGAAAGATAGATATTAACGCAAATAGGAACCGTGGTCATTGTCAAGATTGGAGGAGATGAGGCCCAATGGAGGAGAGAATAAAGAAAAAATATATTTGAAAGATATGTCATAGTGGGAGGTGGGGGAAGGGGAGAGGTGTTAACAAACCCAGGGACAAGGGAAGGAGTGATTCAAAACCAGTGGCAAGGAGTGGATGGGAGAACTGGTAGGGGGTAATCAAGGGCAATGTAACCGAGAAGAATTACTGAAACCCAAATGAAGGCTGAGCATGGTAGTGGGACAAGAGGAAAGTAAAAGGAAATAGAGGAAAGA